TAACTATAGCCAAATTTTATGACAGGCGAATTTTCTTAACCTCGTCTAGTCATACACAATCGTGGGTAGCTTTTCGTATTCTCCCAGCTCTTTGCCAACCTTGATTTCACCAAACTTCTCCTTTTCCTTCACGAAATCAAATGCTTTGTAGATAGCAATCTTTGCATAGAACAGTGTCACAACCAAGAAAATGAATGCGACAAAGCCTAAAACTGCACAAAGTACAACCACAAATAATGATAGGAACTTGAGATTATGCATACCTCTGTAAAAGATCATCTTGTGGTCTAATTGACAAACATAAATTTGCTCATGTTGGACTTTTTTGGTAAGGTGAACCGTATAATACTGAATAATTATGAGACTCGTCTGTCCATCAAATAGTACATGCAATTCAGGATTTTAATAAATAGGTGACGACAAGATTTGAACTCAGAATATGCCTCATATTATGTTCTGATCTTACAGACTCAGTTAGAAACTAGGAGGATTCTAAGAAGAGGGCTTACCTATATCAGCAAAGTCGAAAAATTCTTTATTAGGCAATGTTTCAGATTGGCACCTTATTCCAGCATCATCACATTCACCAGTCAAGTTCCATGTCAATGAGAGTCCAAAAGTATTATCAGACAGATATGGGCTATATGAAAATGGGATTGCAACAGTTTTCACCAAATCACACGAAACCGGAGGGGAAAATGATGATTCTACAACGTAAACATGATGGTTCAATCCACTGAGACATGGGACTTGCAAGAAAGAAGTTGAGAGCTGAGATGAACAGTTGATGTATGTATACTCTTTCAGAACATAGTAGTAATTGAATGGAGTAAGAGAAAGATTCAGGTTCAAGAAAACTTCAGGGACACAATTTTTGGGATCAATAAGGTTAAGTTTTCTGGTATCATGAGAGATGGACTTGACAATTAGATCACCATAAGTTGGAAAATGAATAAATGTTTTGTTTCGTCTGAAAAATAGCTCGAAACCAGGACGACCATAGTTACTCGGCTGCTCGTCCTGGATTCGGAATGGATACCGAATTCCAGGAAAAACAGGGCCACCGATAATAGATGACAGATTATTAGGTTCGTGAGCTTTTGTAACTAGGAAAACATAGGAGAAAATTGTGAAGAAGATGAAAAAATCCATGAAATTACAAAGAAAAAACAAAGAAGCAATGTGAGGATACTAATGTTTCAAGTGGTCCAACAACTGATGTCTAAAATAGAATAGCAAAGGGAAAAAAGAGCTTGACGTGTTTAACTAGCAAGGAATCAGGCCTGCCTAACATTCTCCTAGAAATTAATTATGAGTAAATACTTATGTAATTATAAAGCAACTTGTACATCGTAGTGTGCATTATTCTTGTTGGCAAAGATTTGATTGGTGGAATTTTTTTTTTTAAAACCTTCAAATGATAGCTTTACACGTAACGAAATGTACACTATATATGTGAATTGTATAACATGTTAAATTGGGAACTCTTGAAATCAACTACAAATCAATGGTTGATCATCTTCTTTTTTTTAAAAGAAAAAATCCAATATGGAACCATTCAACCTTCACATATAGTGTATTATATATTGTTATGTATATTATCAATATCACAGAATATCAATACCGTACTTAACTGTATACTATCGAAATTAAAGTCATCTTTCTAGGAAAAATTGTCCAAAGAGTGGACATCATCAACTAAGAGTTTCGTTACACAAACATAATACTTGACATAGAGGATGACACAACGCACACGCATGGGGGAGGTCAACATTATTTAATCCAGGTCGGGACCCATATGCAATTTGAGAGGTCGATCAACCCCTATATCAAGCATTATGTTCATTTAGCTTAATTCATCAACTAATATAAAAAATTGGCGTTTCTTCCAAGTTGTAAAGACTTCCAAGTCAAGCCATTGGTTTACAACTTTAAAGAAGTTAACAAGTGGAGCGGAGGACAGACCATGGATCATCTTCCCACCAATTAGTGAGACCCATGTTTTGCTACTCGGGGGGACCACGGTTTTGGTATGCAATGACTTTATACTAATTTTTATTGGCCGCCCATGCTATTTAATTACGGCATGTTTGGATAAGCTTAAAAGTTACTGAAATTCACTTTTACATGGAATATGAAATTCGGGTCAAGCGTCAAACAACTCAAATTAATTTTTAAAAGTATATGATGGTGAAAAAAATGGAAGATCGTTAGGATCATTAGCTACGCTAGGATCACAAGAATCATTAGAATCCAACAATATGACCTAAGAATCTACAATTTTATGATTATATAATTTCATTTTTGGTTCGTAGAATCAGAATAAGGGTTCATCAATGTCTTGGTAAAAGAAACCTTTATTATGATGTTTTAATATAAATTTGATAATTATAGCATTATACTTTGTATGATTTTTATAGATGTTCTAGAGTTTTTAATACATGCTTTCAAGTTCGCATTAGATGATAAATTTAATTGACATCGAAAGATATTTTTAATTAATTTAGGAACACCGATCAATAAGAATGTGCACATTTTGTCATATTATTGAATTGCATTGAAATTGATTAATAAGGGGGATTCAAGGTCTTAGTAACCATTTAATCTAAATTTATAAAAGTCTCATAATTTACTCACTCAAATACTTAGTGTAAATAGTTAATTAGTATAAACTCTTCAAACAAAATTTGCTCTTCGATTAGAATTAGAATTAGAATTAATTCATCCTAAATTGAATACATAGTTCTCATGTGAACAATATCCTGGTTATCGCTTTATTACTTGTTCGTAATACTGTGCACTTGCGGAAAATCAAACAATCAAGATTTTTGGCGTTGTTGTCGGAAACTATTATATTTAATTAATTTTAGTTATTTTTAACTTTAATTATGAATTTTTTGTTGCTTTATTAGTTTTAATTTCATATTAGAAAATATTACAGTGTTTTATCTTCTTATTTTTAGGATCTTGCATGCTTAGTTCGAGGTATGATGATCTTACTCAATTTGATTCGAGAAACAACCCAAAAATAGTAAAAAGAATCAATGGCAGAAAATACGCAAAATCAAGTGACTGTTGGGTTTAATGAAATCGTAGCACATCCGATTGTAGCTGCAAATAATGATGAAAGATTGATGGGGGGAATACATGGTTCCACCAGTGGTAGAAAGTCGATCCAGCGTAGCTTATCCAACATTTGGACAAGCTAATTTCTATTTGAGGACAGACTTGATCAACATGTTCCAGCATGCATTTTAATTGTTCAAGAAAGCCATTGAAAATCTAAAGCTCACATCTCGATATTTTTGGATTTGTGTGCATCAATTGTATATCCGGAAGTTTTCGGTGATATAATTCAACTAAGACTCTTTCCTTACACCTTGAAAAATTCAGTTAGAGAATGGTTGGACACATTCCCACCTCACAACATCACTACATGGGAAAGTCTGAGCCATAAATTCTTAAACAAATACTTCCCACCAAAAGGATTTCCAAGTTAAGGGATGAAATCACTACATTTTCTCAGCTTGATTTGAAATGCTATTACGAGATGTGGAAAAGATACAAAAGTTTGCTTTGACAATGTTCACAACATGGTTTGCAAAAGTTTCTATAAGTAAAGTACTTCTACATTGGGTTAAATCCGACAAGCAAGGCTAACGTTGAATTTGCGTGTGATGCGTCAATTACAAGGAGGACTGCACATCAACTTTATCTGATAATGGAAGATCTGGCATACACCAGTACACCGGTCGACTGAAAGATCAGGTGGAAAGAAAGCTTTGGGGATGCACAAGGTTGACACACTAACAACTATTTCGGCAAGCTAGCAGCACTAACTAAAATGGTAGATTGTTGGGCAACCAATCAAACAGTGAATAGACTTTAAGCAGTTGGACCGAGATGAAACCATTGCACGGGCAATCGTGAAAGTGATGTAATGTGGGAGTCCATTTGTATAGTCAATTGAGGATTTGAATTACATGAAATTTTTTTAGAAACACAGAATAATCCTCATTCCAATACATACAATCTGGGTTGAAGAAATCACACAAACTTCTCTGAGAGCAACACCCAATCTTCTCAAGGTGCACTGTATTAGAATGCACCATCGGGTTTCCAACAACCAAAAAAGAAGCTTTCATGGGAAGAAGCGTTGAGCAAAATGCCAACACCATCAACTGAAGCATTGAGCAAAATGGCAGCGCCATCAACTGAAGCATTGACCAATAAAGCTGAAACATCAACTAAGTTCACGCAACAGACTAAGAAAAAAATTCAAATTCAAGGGGCTGCTATACAGAATTTGAAAAATCAGATGAAACCAATAACCAAAGCACTTTAAGAGTGGCAATTAGGGACCCTGCTAAATGACACTGAGATAAATCCCAAACAACAAGTAATAGAAATAAATGTTGTGAATTATGAGGTCCATACTCTGCCAATCAAAATTGCACTAGTTACACGAGAGTATGTGCCACCTACTTATTCCCTCAAAGGCTTAAAAAAAGATCAAAAGGAAAATAGTCCGGGCAATTATTACGCACAGTCGGGTGACTCTTCCAGAAATCACAACAAAGAGACAGGTAGTACTGAATGAAAAGATACCTTTCACAATTGAGGAGCGCATGGGTTAGTCTAAAAAATGAACAAAAATAATTCCAGATCAAAACTCAAACTATCGATAAGTTAAGTCAGCTGTTCCTATCGAAACGATTTACCTCATGTCCCATGTCTCAGAGATTGTAGAAAAGGAAGCTCGAAAAATAGTTTGCAAAGTTTTCGGACATATTTAGGAAGCTTCATATTAACAACCCATTAATTGAAATCATATCGCAGATATCAAACGATGCAAAGTTTTTGAATGAGGTCTTTTTAAAGAAAAGAAAGCTCACTGAATTTGAGACAATCAAGCTAAATGAGGAGTGTAATGTTATCTTGCAAAACAAATTACATCCTAAACTAAAAGATACATGGAGCCTCAAAATACCTTGCTCAATAGGAAATTATTCTACTTACATTTGTTTATGTAATTCCTGAGCAAATATAAATTTAATGCCATTTTTGTCTACAGAAATTTAAGTTTGAAAGAGCTAAAGAACACAAGTATTTTCCTTCAACTGGCAGACACTCAATCAAATATCCTCGAGGATTGATTGAGAATGTGCTCATTAAAGTGGACAAGTTCATATTTCAGTAGATTTCGTTGTCTTAGACATACAAGAACCATGTGATACATCACTACTAATCTTGGGTTGATCTTTTGATCTTTCATATCAGCAAGTCGGACTATCATGGACTTTGAAATAGGCAAACTGACCTTGAGGATGGATAATGAGCAAGAGAAGTTCAAAATCTATACCACTGTCAAGAAACCATCCCATGTAGAGAATAGCAGAAAGGTTAAGGGGGAAGAAGCGAAAGAGTATTTAAAATGCCAACATAAAAAGGAATCGATAAAACAATTATGACCCTTCAGGACAGGGAGGCCGGCCCTGGCCCAAGGCAACTAAGGCCGCTGCCTTGGGCCTCTAAATTTTTAGGGGCCCCTAAAAAAAAAAAAAACCCCAACCCACTTCTTTGGGCATCAAATAATAAGGGGCCTAAAAAAAGAGCGCCGAAAGCCCAAAAAGCCCCAAATAAAAACACCTCAAATACCTATTTCCTTGCCAGTTACCATTTTCAACTCTCGGTCTTCTTCATCTTCTCAGCTGCTTCAAGACTTCAATAGACAACACTATATCACCAAATTCCAAACAAGCCTTTAATCTTTGATTTTTGGTATTGGTAATGAGTCTTCTAGAGAAGTCAATCATCAGAGTGCATGTTCGATCAATTCCCAAGCCTCACATACTGCCAACTGGCGACCTCATCCAGCATCTGCAGTCTGCACCTTCCTAAGCTGAAATCAAAATATTTTACGATAAGGTTTTTATTCCCTGGACTCAGCACACAGCACTTTGATGAATTCCTGTTTTAATTCTTCTTCTTGGTTATGAATTTCATTTCTTATTTTGTGAAATGTGAAGATTATGTTGATTGTTGAGGGTGAAATCACTGAAAGTCACCTTTTTCCCACTAAATTTGAGCATGTGAGATGTAAAATCATAACTAGTTTTTTGGGTTAACAGAAACGGGAAACCCTCTTAGCA